CCCCCCCCCTGGATCCGCCCTGGTTCTTTTACGTCTTCCAACTTGCGGTTTTCTTCTATTTCTTTCCTTACTACTACCAGCTGATCTGAAAGAAAATGTTAGCCAATCAGAACGAGAAAGTTTGCAAAACTGAGGTGTCATTTTTCCTCCTGAAATTATTGATTCCCATGCCACCAAATGGGAAGGAAACCTTGCTAATGAGAGGTTGAAAACAGTAACACAATAAATTATGAGTTATATATTTTTATTGCACACAGTAAATTTGAGAGGGCCAATTTGACCCCAGAGAGCCATTTTGGCTTTTTCAAAGTTGTGGTATTTTAGCCCAGGCTAGGGCCAAAATAGAACAATGCCATTTTGGCCTCACAGAAGCCATTTTGGTATGGGTCTATCAGTACTGTACCTTAATAAATGGCCCCTACCGGTAGTGCCCAAATAGCCCTACTTTAAGGAGGCCACTATAGGGTCAAAATTTTGGCCCCATTTTTGGGGCCAAAACCACCCTATCCGATTTACTGTGCAATGGTGGACAGGTTTATATTTTTCACTTGACAATTTTTGCATGACACCATGGCTTCATGACACCACAGTTTTGCAGTGACTTCATTTCACTATTTCAGTTCAGCTGGTAGAACGTACTTTAGTACTACTTTTGGAGATTAACTATCAATTTTATCAAACCCTGCCAACTAACAACTTCTGGGCTGATCAAAGAAAACAATATAAATATCACCCATGGTGTTCTAATTTCTTTACAGCAATGGTAAACCAGTGGAGCCAATTCGTCTTGAAGAACAGCTTAATATTCACAGTATTGAGGAACTCATGAGGTTCAAGACTCACATGTCGGACAAGGCAGCGCTCAGGAAATGGAATGCGCGCAGGGGAGCTCCTCTTTCCACCCACGTGAGAGGCTTGATGACGATGAAGGAGTCTTGACATACCTTTGCTGATCTGTTGAACATGGAGAGCTGGGACTTGAAAATGAAATGAAAACATTGTTTACTGAGGTGAGAGAATTCGACAACAACAACAATAATGATGATGATGATGAAGATAGAGTGCATTTGTGAGATTTAGGCCCCGTTTACACGAAGCCGGATGTTTTTTTATCCGGATAAAAAAATGTGCGTTTACATGCGGCTTCGCGTAAACGCTCATCGTTTTCGCATCGTTAGTCGACCGTTTACACGAAAAAGCTCCATCGACTCGAAAACGCTCATGGGAGCTAAATGAGCATGCGCATAGTTCTTGAGCCTGCTATCTCCTTTGTTTAGTGACGTCAGCGTTTACGAAAATATCTGGCTCCGAGTGTTTACACGGAAACGCATAGCAAGCGTTTTCAAAAATATCCGCTTTGAAAAGCGTTTTCGAAAATAACCGGCTAAAGACTGTCTCCGTGTAAACGGTAGGCCTAAACGGATAAAAGAAATATGCGTTTACAAAAAAGTATCCGGGTCCGTGTAAACGGGGCCTTAGTGAAATTAAGACACAAATATAACGAGTATTAAGTTTATGATTGTTTTCGTTGTTCAGTGTTGTTTTTTGTTGTGAAGTGTGATCGTTCGGGTATTGATCGTTTCGCTTGGCATCTGATTATCTGATACTGCTACAAAATGTGTTATTGGGGTTCCTGTGTAAAGTTTACTCACTCACGGACATGGATCGATAGCATATTATAAAATAAATTAAATAGTACGCACGCTGTGATTGGTTGATAGCCATGTTTGCATGAGGGTATGTAAACACAGTTGTGACGACTACGTCTCGGGTTTGCATAACTGTCTCGAATTCTCCCAACCTCCCCTCGTGTTGTTATCAGGCTATGTAAACACGGAAAAAGTTTTCTATTGCTTAAGTGGTACTGCTTCTGCGAAACCGTGCCACAATAAATCGATCTTGTCGCTCCAGGTCAACACTGGGAAGAGGAGTGGCGTAAAAACAATTGGCTGTATATTGTATAAAGAATTTTTTAAGTTTATCAGAATTCCTATAGAGTTTGTGCAACCACATGACTCAAAATCCCTTGAGATATGAATAACAATGAAACAGCGGCCATCTTGGTTGATCTAACAACAGAAGCTTTAAATGAGGAATGCTTTGTTATCGTCAACCAAGATGGCGGCAATGAAGCAACATGCACCTACTCTATAGAATGTCGATCCAAGAGCGCCGAAGGTACCCGACCACGAACAACTAGTCACTTTCAATGGATCTTAATAAGATATTTTTTGCTGGAACAGAACTGTCTTTAATCCTGACTGTAATGGTTTTCCTTCGACTTCCTTTTCTTCGTTCTCTAATGATACCGATGAAACAAGATGGCATGAGAAAATTCGACGGCAATAATGAACGACAATCTAGTATAACCTCGGAAACGATGAAGATAAAAAACATAAACATAAAAGAAAGAACAAAAGCAGCAGTCGCGGTACTGGAGCGAAAAAAACTTTCGCTGAAACCATTAACCACACCACTAACTATGCTGAAGCAACACCTAAACATGTTACAAGACGCATACAAAGTGATTTTGCTATATACTCCAGTGTTCGGTCGTATTTCATGGCAAGGTTTGAAAAATACCCATGATTTTACTCACCCTGGCGGCAAAATTTGCCGGCGAGGTAAAGAGCTGCAGGCTAACATACGATAAAAGGATTTGGCAAGAAGTGACGCGGTAGTTTTCAAGGGCGGATCCAGGGTTTTTTGAAGGGGGGGTCTCGGGGGTAAATTTTGTGGGCAAAGGAATCCCAGTCGCATTTTTACCACAGGAAGCCCATTTGACCTCAGGAATGACAGGGGGATCGCGACCCCCCCGACCCTCCCCCTGGATCCGCCCTTGGTTTTCCATGCAAAAGACATGCCAAGCGTAAATATAATAAAAGAGATCTCACGAGACAGAAGTTGGAAGCAAAGATGGATTTTCTTTACTCATGAAAATCCTTACTATACTTTCATAGCTACCAAAATGTATAACGGATTCTTCAACTGGACGATGACTTACCGAAGACATTCAGACTTCTTTGTGCCGTACCGGTATTACAGTTCCTTAAATTTCGCGACTGGAAAACGAACCAGTCACCTAAAGAATTATGCACGAGGTAAAGACAGCTTTATAGCATGGATGGTTAGTAACTGTGGGAGTTTAAGAGATAAAATTACAGCCAAACTCCTAAAATGCGTCAATGTTAGTGTGTTTGGTCGTTGAACACAGAAGTTTGGGCAGTCAATGTAAAGCGTTTGTTTTTGTGATTACGTATTCTCGCATTAAATCATGAAAAAATCAAAATTAAGACTTTTAATGTACACAGGTAATGTAAATAGCCAGGAATACACAAATTTTAGGACTAAAGGTTGACAGAGGCAAGATGGAATGTACGCATTGGAAGTACGGACAAAATATAAGACATCCAGCTTTATGCTGTTTTTGAAAATTTCAAAAGGCTTAATATGTTTTTTATTTAATGTGATTCTTAAGGTGTCACAAATTTAAAAGGGCCACCACAGGGAACCCGGCTATACTTGGATTGCTCCTTCAGTAGAAAAGTAACTTTGCTCTCTATTATGGGTTTCCTGTGGTTTACGAACGCTTCCCTGAGAGACTCTAGATGCATGCGGATGCGCTCTTGAAAATTACGCCTTAACATTGTGAGAACTGTAAGGCGTTTTGTTTAATGTTAAAACAGATTACCTTTTTGACCTCAACCGATAATAAAACCTGTCAGTCCAGTTTCTTGGTTGCTCAGTAGCAAACACTTCAACAGGTTTGTTAGCAGTCCATGTCATTTTAGCATCTGATTTACAAAAATCTTTATAGCTATTAACTCTATTGATCAGGTCTTTAAGTTTCGTCGTTTCTAGAAGATCTGGAGGTACTTGCAGAAGGATTTCATCAATATGTCTCGTATCATGTTGACACCTTTGTTCAGTATGATCGCCATGTTTTCCTCCTAAAATCTCCGTGACAAGTAAAGTGCTGATAGCATTCCATCCATTTATGAGGCTGCTGTTGTCTGTAAGTTCTTTCCATGGGCCCCAGTATCCACCACGTTTGCCCGGGTCGGCGTCAGTGTCGATGGGTGGGTACCAAACTGGACGAGAACCTTTTTGAAACTCCACTAGGCGTTTTAGAAGCTGTTGGACCATCTGAGGCATTTGATTGGATAGGTCGTTGTACTCGCATGGATCTGATGATGTATTGGTAAAAAGATACTCGAATGGATGAATGATTAAATAAATGGATGGATGTATGTATGTGTAAATGGACAAATGGAAGGACAGATTGGCGTTTGGTCAAGTGAATGGGTGAAAGAAGCAAAAAGAAAAGTATTATCGCACGACAAACGTTTGCAAGCGCCAAAAATCAGTTTTAGCTACAATACCTTCTACCATATCGAAGAGACATGTTGAACCATTCCTACTGTCACACTTCTTATCTTGCTTGGATCTTTCTCCACAGTCTAGTACAGCCCCAGGTATGACCTGAGGCTGTTCCGTGGCTAACAAATCTTTATATCTCGGATGCCATGGTTCATCTTGATAAGTGTCATCCATGCCAACAACTAACTTGTATCTGCCTCGACGAATTGCTGCGAAATTACGCCTACAAATATCAAATATAATATTTTTAACAAAATTAGCTGTGTCCTGACTTAGATCAAGCCATAGGTCGGCCAGAGGTTGTTTCAGGGCTCAAGAAAAGGGAGGGGAGTGGTTAGTACAATAAGGGAGATATAACGGACTTACCACGGATCAATAGCGTGCAGTATCTCATCCCTTGGTGATTTCTCACCTCTTGATATCGTCTCCCACACATTCTTTCCATCCATATTTGGTTGCAGTAATTCAGGGTCACCCCCTGCGACGTAATACAGCGTAGGGACCCAATCACTGACGTCAATCAAGTCGTGACACACGCGACCCTTCTTGGAGATGAGGTCGCTATAGACGAAGGCTGTAGCTTTTATTCCTCCTTCCCATACCATGTCTTTTCCCCCGCGTAGCGGATAGTTCGACCCCATGTTCCTATGGACACATCAGTACAAAGAACATAATATAAGAAGTGATTATCTTATATTTTCCAGTCAAGTTTATCTATGAGGTTTCACGCGCATGCTCACTTACGATTCGTTGGGTATTTCTTAAATAAATGGATCCATTTCAAATTTCTAAATTCAATTTGGATAAAAGCCTTTCGTCTCATTTGTATAAGATATCCATCCATGTAAGATAATTACCAGTTAAATCCGTTAGGTGCTCCACCGTTATCTGTAGTAAATACGATCACAGTATTATCCTCTATTTTCTTCGTCTTTAGTGCTTCATAGATATTGCCCACTGATTGGTCGAGAGCGGTTACCATGGCAGCGTATTTACGCCGATCTTCATTATCAATAGTGTCTTTAAATTTCTGCAAGTGGAAAATTTTAATGCAAATGATAAAAAAATTTACATAATTTTTAGTTTAATGTAATTAGTGTTCCTGCTAAGCAAGAGGTTCATAGTTTGATCCTCAGTGACCTCACACACTTGTTTTAAGCAACAAGTGTGGGTTGGTTGGTTAGTGTGCCGCCTGC